TACAGTAGAGCGTCGATTTTCCGAAAGTCAATCATCCGAAAGAATTCCAGTCGGCAAATTTAAATTTTCGCCAGTGCTGTGGCGCTTCAATCTTTGGCTATGTCTTGGGCTACTCAAATATTTTACGTTTTTGATACTAAATTAACATCTGAAGTATATTTTTTTGTTGTTTTTATATTTTTCAATATATTTATTTTGTTTGTACAAAATAAAAAAGTAATTTTTAACAATACAATAGTCTTTGTTAGGCTTAACATCGACGAAACTTCAACGCGAAGCGACACACAACGGAGAAAAATTTCAATATCGGATACGTTAAACTATTTTTTCGTGCATAAATCGGTTATCCGAAATATCAGTTATACGAACAACCCCAGTCCCCAATTGATTCGGAAAATCGACGCTCTACTGTGTTTTGAAATGTGCAGTTCTTCTAATGCCATTTAAAATTTATTTGAATAAAAGATAGAATGTCATTAAATTATTTTAAAATAATAAAGCTAGTGTCATTTAAAAGATTAATTTTAAAATTACCTGAATGACGGAGTGTTTAGTATAAACAATTGTTCCAAAGTAATGAAATCCGATGCGCTCTTCACGGATGCACTTCATGAATGTTACCGCCTAAAAGACAAATATTAAAAATTTGTTTTAAACATTTATAAATGAGTATTAAAAAATGAAAAGTTGCTAATTTGTTTAACGATAAATGCTCAATTATGACGAATACGTACAAAGCGTACAATAAATCACGTTCAATTGCTAAAGATTGCGTTGTACTCTTACGTATTAACACGTAACGATTTATTTAAAGTAAGTTAACCCGCGTTACAAAAATAGGAATGACTATTCATTTGAAGGTCATTAAACACATTTCAAGTCTTTTAACAAACAATTATTTATTGTGAAACTGTCACAATGCCGGGCTGTAATTTTTTAGATCTCAATGCGCAATGCTCACGATTTCAGATGTGTCGTGTCCCCCTGTATATCATACTTTTCCTGTTAACATCCAATCACTTATCTTTTTTTAAGACTCTCTTCGCTGTGCGGGCATTCAGTTGGCCTCTTTTAGCAGGCCCATTATGGGTTCAGCTAGGCCCACAGTGGGGCGGCCGGATGGTGAGGGACTGGGGCCGACATATCCGGACCACTCCCCGAAAAATTCTTGGAAATTTTTTGACCTGTCGGATTCGATCCCTGGTCCCCCAGAGCGGTACGCTGTCCCCTTTACCGCTTGGCCATCCGGTCGTCCCAGTCACGTATCTAATAAAAATTGAGCTAGACATAATAGAGGATTAAAAGCTTAGTGATTGATATTAATTGGTTTTTGCAGTACATAAATCAGGCGAATAACGAAAATCACATAAGATTTCAAGAAATATTATTATTATAATATAAATAATCTTATATTCATGACCATTTTAGTTAATTGAATTACTTCATAAAAACGGTATCATAACCTGAAGATATGCAATAAAATCTATTTATATATTTGACTGATACTTTACCTTCCATTTATCAATAACTTCCAATTGGCAAACACTTAAAATACGTAAATGTTCGATAGGAGATGAAGCCTGAAAATGATGTTCAAATCGTTTATTTTATTAATTAAATTTTATACAGTCTATGCATTTTATTATATTTATTTCAAAGTTTCTTCTATGTTTTATTTTCTACTTATTGTATTATTATTCGTGAAGTCATAAAGGATTAACGGGGATAACATTTATTTAAACGTCCACAGAAAGGAACAAATTACGGAAACTTAGGCAAACTGGAACAATGGGAGAGCTCCTAAATGTCACATTTATTGTAAGCCAGAACGGCATTTATTCTAATTACAAATAACCGAAAAATACAATTAAATAGTTAATAAGAACGGGTGTATTTTGTATGTTTTATATCATACAAATACTATGTGAGAATAATTTACAAGGAATTTATTTAAACTTTTTATACTTTGGATCCTTTTGAGTAAAGAAATGTGGTTCTAGCAGAAAAACGTATGAAAATGCTGCAGATTTTAATTAAGTAAACGGAATTTTATGTTTTAGTTTAAATACTATTTTTATTTATTTTTTGTNTTAAATATTCGAGGAAATAACGTTTTTCACACGATTAAAAAAATTACGTCGAGATATTCTATAACAAGGCTTCTTTTTACCACCCCAAATAATATATTTATTAATTAATATACCAATATTATTTATTACACTTTTAAGATTGACTAAGTTGTTTTATGTTATTTAATATTAGATCGTGTTTGTGGAATTAGACAGAAGAGAACTTACTATAAAACTGAAAGAAACAATCTTTTGATCACTTACAAGTCTTTCCCAAATTATAAAACTGAAGAGTTCTCTCTAGTGTACAGAGGTAGACGTATAACGTGATTTAATAATTCACTCTACATGGTTTAATAAAATCATAACTCATTTTAATTGTAGTTGTTTGCAACGGAACCATTGAAGGAGATTACGGCAGATTGCAAAATCCGAACTACGACCATCCTTATCCATACGATTCCATATGTCAATGGGTGCTGGCTGTTCCCATAGGCCAAGTCGTTTTAAGTTTTGAAACATTTTACGTGAGCGAAAATATCATTTAGAAATTGATCTCCCGTGTACATTTAAGAGGATTTAACAAGAAATTCTTTTTAATAGATTAATGACGACGAAGATTGCCAGTCTGACTACATCGAAGTTATTGATGGTGACATCGATTCCGGTAAAGTAATCTTGGATAAAGTCTGTGGTAATAAAGTGCCCGATGTTATCGTATCTACCAACAACAAGCTAACTGTCACTTACGTATCGAAAAACAAAAATAAGAAAAATAAATTTTCAGCCAATTTTATAGAAGGTATAAATAATTTAAAAATCTAGAGTTAATTTTAGTTGGAAGTTCAAATTAGAAATATCCCTTGTTAATTAGAATTCGCTAAATAATAGCTAAATTTATTTTATATTATTTNTATTATAATTCTTATTATGTAGTTTGGTTTATATGAAAATTGTATTTTATGATGTATTTTTGTCGTTGATCAAATTTATGCTTTTATGTAACGAAAAAGTATTGTCGGTTCTCATCTTTTGTACTTTACTAACATTGTTATTGTCGGTTTAACAAAGTGATGTATTATCTATTGTTTGTGTAAAGGGGGAAAAAGGAAAAGGGTAGTGCTGTGCGGAGGCCATAAGGCGGGCACCGAGGGCCTCTGCTTGGTTTTTGTAATGAGAATCAAACTTTAATAAATGCGACAGAAAACACTGCCTAAAGAAAAAAAAATAGAAATAAGTTCACTTAATGTTAATTTTTTTTTAACTGCAATTAGAAAACGACTCACCAGGTCAGATAAATTGCTACAAAATCTTTTGATAATAACTTTTGAATGATAAAACAATACGAAAATTATTACAAGTCCTTACATTCAAAACTTAGCATTTCAATTTATTACTACTAGTTCTATCATTTTCGTTTCTATTTCACTTAACGTTGCCTCAATCGTCAACAGTTCATTTGTCTTGTCTTCATTAAACTGAATACTGATATCACAAAAGTTCTCTATAAAATCTAAAAAAGAAAAAAATGTTTAAAATTTCGAAAATTTTACCATTTTTAAATATTAATTTCAATTTCATAGCATTAAAATCGTCTCTAGTGTCGCAGTACTGCTGCAGTTGCATTTTTTTAAGCATTGTTTATCTGTTTATGTTCTGTATTTGTTTGTATCGATATAGATATTTTTTTATTTATAACTTTGCCTCTGATTGTAATTACTATTTATTTTAGTACCATGTTTGGTAGAGCAATGGTAACTATAAAAATAGTTATTGCTTTACTATACTATATTCGTGATAGTAAAAAGAGTTATACACTGTCAGTAAAACAAATACTTTGCGTGTTTTAATCTGTGATTAGAACAGACATAACTTATACAACAATAGATCTGTTACAATAACTGCAACTGCAAATTGTAGAAAGAAAACACAAGCTATAAAAAAAAGCATCATACATCATTCGACAAGCTTTAAATTATGATTTATCATAAACTTAACGCTTTCACAATGCCACACTGCTGACAATTAATGCTAAGTCGGCCTTGAAAACAATACACGTTTCTTGAACACTTCAAATGTACAATATGAAGTGTTCAAATTATTTATTGTCCTATGCTTTAAAATTAACAATTCGTAATAATAGTCATAATAAAAAGGTTTTTGTGTACATATTGTCTACTTTAACCTTGTTTATTAATAAAACTTATTATATTGGTGAAGTTTTTGATTAGCAAGAGAGATCTTATATAAAAGTCAAAACGAAATATGGTTATATTTACCTGTTTAATATTTAAGAATTAATATTTAAATTTAAATGATCTACAGCCGAAATTGTGCTGAAGTGGAAGATGCAAACAGCAGAAGGAGGGGGAAAAAGCATATTTAAGGCAAAATTATGGTATTTAAGAGCGTGTANCGAAAAACAAAAATAAGAAAAATAAATTTTCAGCCAATTTTATAGAAGGTATAAATAATTTAAAAATCTAGAGTTAATTTTAGTTGGAAGTTCAAATTAGAAATATCCCTTGTTAATTAGAATTCGCTAAATAATAGCTAAATTTATTTTATATTATTTACTAAAAAGATATTTGACAATTGTGTACTGTTTCCTGTTTATATGTTAAACACATCAAGAAAACCCGGAAAACCTCACGTGCCAACCCGTTAGTGTAATGCAAACCCGCGACTAAATACAACTTTTTTTTTTTTTTTTTTTTTAATTCATATCTGTACTCGAGAAGTAGTGGCAAGGATCTACTATATTTCTATAACTTTTAATTTAGATATTTTTGATCAAAATTCAGATTATAAATTATTCCGTGAATTTTATAATGAACTTATATCTCATAAGAGCGATAAGAAGCTAATTATTACTAATTGCATCCTTTGTGCAAGTATATCATTTCCATATAAACAAAGTTTTCCGAGAAATTTCACTTCCTACCTTTTTATCGACAGCAATTTTCAACGTCAAACATCACATTTTACTCTTCGTAACGAGTGAATATGAACGAACACTTCAATCGCACGATGAAGATATTAATTAGTTTATTCGTATTGACGATTTTGTCCATTGTTTTCACTTCTGCAAAGAGTCTTTCGGATGTTAAACAGAAAAAAGATACTGAAAATTTTCATAAAAGGTAAATATTTTTTACAAATCTTTCAATGTTTTGATTAGTTTATTTCAACTTTTATCAACTTTTTAGTAAAATTTGGAAAAGAGTTGCAACTTCGGATCCGAATAAACTTTGGGATGATGGCGTTATACCTTACGAAATAAATGGAAATTTCAGT